GAAAAACGTGTAAAGCTGGATTATGCTGATCCGAGACAATGTAAAGCTAGGAATGTAACTTCTGTTCTGTCGCGGTATACACGAACAATAAGTATTCGAACACTTGGTATTGCTACTATCAGCAAAACAGTTAATGTTTTGTCGTTTAGCCAAATGTATTTTATTTAATTGCATGTTTACAATGTTAAATCGGCGAACTCAATCCAAGAATGCAACATTGGAGTTTACATGCAAAGAAATACAATTGTATTTTGTCCGTTAACAAACTGTTCAACTCAGATCAACAAGGCTGGATTTTTGGCAACGAATAGCCTCCATAGCACTCCAGATAACGTACTGTGCATATATATGTACACTATTAAACTCTGACACATTTTCAAAAGAAAGGTCCCCAAACAATGATACAATTTAGATAAAAGGTGTCATTCTACTTTAAAAGATATTAACTGAGTGGCAAAATAATATGTGAATGTGCTAAAAAGAAGGTGCCAGTCTGGAGCATGACGCCTTTATCGCTTTCTTTTCTATTCTCTAGTCTTTTATTGTATGGTAATATTGATTAACAAGTGCAAACACTCAAAGTTGATATCGGACTTCGGATGCAAGCAATTAATGTATTTACTTCAAACAAACAATGAACAACAAAAAGCAAAATGCAAAATGCAGAAAAAAAAGAAGAAAAAAAAGGATATGCACTTTTAACCTAGATATATATAATTGTTTCAGCAAATCTGGTGCATAACTAGTTTGCGAATACACAAGTCTCGCATTCTTAATCAATGTATTTTTATAATGTTATAATCTTTTTATAAAATGATATAAATAAATAAATAATAATATAAAAGTTTGCACAAGTCCTACTACAAGTGTAATAAATTTTACAGAATTATTTTTTCAGGAAAACAATCTGACATCATAATTTGATAACGTAACGAATGAAATCGCATGCAATTGCAACGCAAAATTTGCAAAGTTATCCTGAAAATTACTCAAAAGCATAAAATAGATTGAAAATTTGTTTGTTGTGTATGTAATATCAAATTGTATTTCACTCGTGAACATAGCTCTTACATATCTCTCAAAGTTCTTGCTAAAGTTGTTTAACTGGAGTTTCGCGTTTTTTTTCAGTTTTGCCTGTGATTTGGTAAACATTTGCAATTTTCGATTCGTGTGGAGAATAAAAATAACCAGAGTAATAAACCTTTACAAGAATGTTGTTCAGCATGTGCTTTTATGAGCCTTGGGCTTTGCTTACGTATTTATTCAGTATTTGTAGAGTTATTGCCGTTGACAGGTAAACATTATTTTTTCTTTTGTAATTTTAAACTTGTGTCGGTTTTGCCAAAAAAGTATTTGACCTAGAGTCATGACACTTTCCAGGAATGTTGGTCAGCAAGTGTAACTGTGCACCTTGAGTTTTGCTTGTCTCCTATTAAACTGGGACATTACACAGTCTGACAACAATAACATAAAACATTGTGTGAAGAACGTTTGTACAAAATGAGAGTGTATCAAGTGGCCATGTAGCCGGAGCATTTGTTTCACATGGACGCATTTGTATTTTTAAATATAAATTAACGAGACAGTCAAATCTATTAGCATATCTCCGTCAATTAATGCTATTTACACGTATTTAATATATGCATATTGAACACATATGCATAAACAATAAACCGTTTGTTTCTGTTTTCTTTTAAATTTAATTGTGCGTCAAACATAATTCATAATTGTCAAGCCTGTATCGAGCAAGCATATAGATAATTATATATAATCGATGTCAGATCGTTGCGAATTAATAGGTTTCTGTCAATTTATTTCATCTTTCCTGTTGAAATGGAAATAAACATGACCAGTTAATTGTTTTCTTCAAAATGAAATATTGAATACAGTCTTAAATGTTGATGAACATTTTCAGTGCAAGCTTAAAGCACTTTACATTGAGTGTTACAATTTGTATTCATCTCACAACAACTAAATACTACATAATCAACACTCTAACGTATAATTCAAAGGAATAATTCTTGTTGACATGTTAAGACAAAATTCAAGGCTCTCGAGAAAAGTGAGTCATATTTGTCTGCACAAAGAAAAAAAAATGATTATCGGAATAATCTTTTGTTTCATTACTGCACAAGACGAATGAAAACAAAATTGATAAAATATACAAATTTATTTAAAAGAATACTTTGATTGATAAAGTCAAGACCTTTTTTTTTTTACAGTAGTTGAATTTTACACGCAAAGATTAGGGCGTTTGTGTGCATAAGTATGCCACACATATTGGCCGCTCGTCAACCTTACCGGCCGGATAACTAGCATGTTATTAACAATTTCTTCGTAAGTCCCACTACCATTATGTAAACACTATTTGCAATTGTCTTGAATTAAATGTCATGATTAACACAAACTTATATTGTACCAATACAATGAAATATAGAACCTAACATAGCATGCAAATTTCAGCCATAAACCACATGAAAGGTGCAGAACAAATGTATAAAAACATATTGTTTATGTCACTGCTATATGCCATATATTCATTTCGCCTGTTTGCCACAGAAATGCTAGCACACATGACAACAAATTGTGACCTCCCTGTAATCACATTTTCAATGTCAAAAAGCGAAATATCGTCAAATCAGGTAAAAAAACTCATTTAACACACAATGTCTCGTGTCGTGAAAATACGACATGGCACAAACTTCCTATTTATATTTTTTATATATTGTTTTTAGTCAATTAACATGATATATTATATATAATTATAAATATTTACATGATAAAAAAACAACATTTAATAGTTTAATCATATGAAACCTAACAAAGTTTAACAGCAGCGAAAATACCCACTAAAATGTAGACGATAAAAGTCTGTAGCAGCAACATCTCTATCTATCAATTTCAAGTGTTTTGCTAATAAAGTCATTTTTTGTCTATCAAAGCTTCTAATTTAAATACCTGTATTTATGCCTTTAATACATTTATAATAAAATAGAACTGTATTTCATCTATTATTATATTAATAATATATAATATTATCTATAAAGTAGACATTGCACGTTTCCTTACAATCATAGGCAGTAAATATAAAACGACAAAATATGCTTTAAATTTTGGTTGTTAATTCAACCAGCGACCGGATTATTACCTTTATAATTGTATGAATGTAATTATAAACATTTCAGAAAGAGGTTAAAAGTTAAAAGAATAATAAGAATACCACAAATAGCGTGATATATATAATCTTATAACTTATTTGTGTATACAATGCACATGTGTCGGTAATATTAGCCTCGAACAATCGTAAATGCTTGCACTAAGCCATATTATAATTATGGAAACATTTCTCAATCATTTTTATTTCATTGACAAATATAATCGAACTTGCAATGTAAAAATGATTAAATATTTTATTTTATTTTTTACATACTAGTGTTTTTGATTGTGAAAATGTATCTGTGTTCGTTAAATATATTATGTATTTAAAATTATTCTGTCTATAGTAAGTAGTGTTCACTTTCATTTTATTGGGATAATGTTATTAATGTTTTGGACATGTGTGTTTTATAGTGCATGACTAAAATTATATGTTTAAGAATAGATTTCGTTTTTGATTGGAAGTTTGCTAGTAATACTATTTTTTATTACACACGTTTGACCGTAACAGAATCATAGAGACATATTTCAATTTCATCAAACAATAGATTTTAAAAGGTATTCGTTTGGAATATTCAACTGTCGTCTATTATCTGTTTATCCTTTTATTGTTCTATGGTTAGCAACATGAATATGAAGTATAGCTAAGAGTTGAGATAATGTGCAAAACATGTTACGTAGTGTCATTCATATCGACGAATTGCTTACATACCAGTAGATTGTTTTTATCATCTGGTATAAAAAACACTTTATTTATTTTTCACTGTACCAATGCTTTCATCAAAATATGCAGTAAATGTTGCAATGATGACATTGTTACAGGAACTTGTTTTGTGTCTTACCACTTTCTTGTCATTTAGATATGTGTTCATTCGAATTTAGGAGTAGATACATTGCCTTCATATCAACATTAATTTTGTCCCTTTCGTTGCAAAGATCATGATTCTAGCAATTTACATTACTTTGTGGCATTAAGTGTTTACATCGTTTATTTTCCATTACCATACTTGTATTTATGCATGTGTGTTTAAACTTTGAATATGTTTTGATTGAACGTTACTTACAGAAAACCTTAAATATTTTACAAATAACAAAATGTCATGATGTTTACAAATGAAACGATTGATTTATCAACCTAAACCGAATAAAATGGGTAACCTTTTTGGCGAATTGGTTACTTACCAGAATCAGTGATAGGGTTTACTCGTTTATCAAAAAGGTTCGTGTTTTTGTCTTCATAAATCACAGCTATGTATGCGCCGAGTGTACAAAGATATTAATATAAACGGTCATATCAAACAAATCTTTAACAAATCATTACTGAAATTCAGATGAAATACATCGCAACACTTTGATTCTTCTACCTAGAGTCTTGTGAATCTTGTCTTGTTCAGGAATGCATTAATCATTATATGCACTTGTATTTAACATAGTCCAGAAGGCTTTCAGACTGACTTCAAAAATAAGCTGAAAGTGTTTCAAACTTCATTATATTTTAATATATTGGTCTTATAGTTATAGATATTTGTCTAATTAACTAATCATTCACTCCAAGTGGATCTTATAAAACGTGTCATAATGAATCTAGAATTTCTACTTGGAAATTCCGTTTTTACAAGATACAAGTATATATCAACAAACAAGCAATTGCATGTCGCAGTATTCTTTTGAAATGCAAAAGAAACATTAAAGCCCAACAAGGAAAATAACCGTTACTCTATATTTTGTGAATATGTTTCCGAACACATGTTTTCTGATACAATAATTATGAGCATAACTTAAACTTTTTTACACTTAAACATTTGAAAACATTTGAAACATTCGATTGTGGATGTATCTGTCGTATAGCTGGTTGCACAGGCTAATGAGTCATACACGCTATATTCAAAAAGAATGACAAGTCAACATGTATATACATATAATAAGGTTTTTATTTCATAATGTGCACTATGGAACATGACATGATTTATGAGTATTATAGTTCAGGATGCATACAGACTAGCTTATGTCAAAATGATTTATATATGTAACTCTAAAACGTGTGTATTTATATACATTATAAAATGTCCTTAGGACAGGTTGATATTATATATACTATTCTCAAATGTCAGAGTGGGAGTTCGACTTTGGTATTCCACTCGTTCACTTGTGTGTTTGTATTTGTATATTAAAAGTATGTAACATCCGTGAGTTCTTCCTACGTTATACGACAACGGTTGATTTGGCGCCTAAGACCAGCGATGTCGAAGCGACGATTTTGGACAGCGGGACACAACGAAGTACCTGAAATAGAAAATTAAAGGTGAGTGATCGTTTATATACCTGTAATTTGCTAATTTTGAAGATGTCAGATCAAGATATAGCTACAATTTTTGAAAATTTGTCAGATAAATTGAACAATATTTCAACTGTCATAGGTACACAGGGTTTATCAGAAATAGTACAAAATTTTGATGGAAATTCTAAATATTTTAATGACTGGATAAAATCTATAGAAAAATATGCTATTTTAAAAGGTTTGGATGATAATAAAATAAAATTAGTCGCATTTCAATCAAGTAAAGGGACTGTAAGCGATTTTATATGTAGATATTTGCGTGATAATCCTCGTAATTCGTGGAAACAATTAAAAGAAGAAATAAGTACTAGATTTGGGGAAATTAAAGATTTACATCACGAATTTTATATTTTGAGAAATTTAAAACAAGATTTGGGAGAAAGTGTTCAAATTTTTGGGGAAAAATTTATTAATTGTGCTGAAACCGCTTATGAAAATTATAAACTAGGAGATAATAGTTTAATTGAACTTCAGTTAGTAGAATTGTTTACGGATAATTTAGCGCATAATTATTTAAAACTTAAACTTATGAGAGAAAAGCCAAAAACTTTACAAGAAGCAATTACTTGCGCAATGAATGAACAGAATTTCAGAGCTAGATTTTCTGCCAGAGTAAAATTTTCTAATTCTCAAAATCACGCAAAATACAATAATTACAGAGCAAATAATTCTAATCATTATTATACAAGAAATTTTTGCGTGTACTGTAAGAGACCAGGTCACCATGTTCGTAGTTGTAGATTTAGGAAAAATGAAATATATTCTGTATTTCACGACAAAATTTTTCACGATTTAGGAAAAATAATAGCAATAATAGTTTGAAATCAAAGATTAAGTGCTGGAAATGTAATAATTTTGGTCATATTATGCGTGAATGTCATAAAACAAAATTTTTACGACGGAAAAATATAAATTTTCAGGAAAACTAGCAAGTTCCTGTCACAAAGGGGTCATTGACAGGAACGATAAAATACCAAAATTTAGTATAGCATTAGCTGGAAGCCCTAATTCGTGTTTGATTAAAATAGAAAACTATAAATACAGATCGTTAGTAGATTCAGGTGCTGAAGTTTGTCTTCTGCATCGCAGAATATATAGAAAATTGAAGAATCCCCCTCAACTTATAAAACAGAAAATAAATTTATGTTCGGTTGACGGAAATTATTTACATATAGATGGTTATATAAATCTAAATTTTCAAATAGGGAAAACAGAAACAACTCAAAAATTCTATGTTGTTTCTAAAATGAATAGAAATATTATTTTAGGCCGTGATTGGTTAACACAAAATGGCGTTAGATTATATTTTGATTTAGGCTGCTTAAGAGTTAATAATACATATGTACCCCTCGAAGGAGATATTCATATTGCATCAATTGTTAGATTAAAACAGGATGTTATTCTGAAACCTCAAACAGTTAATGTGTGCACTGCTAAGTTAAAACAAAATCCAGGCTTAGAAAATGATAGATTATATGAATTAAAAAGTATAGAAACTGGAATGATTGCTTCTGAACCAGGTCTTATGATAACAAATTCTGTTATGAAACTTTCGGCTGATAGAAGATTTCCTATTATGATTGTCAATAATACGCATAAAACTATAAGATTGAAACGAGATTCAGTAGTTGCTAAAGTTTCAGAAGTTGAGAGCATTAACTCGGTCACAGAGGCTCTTCAAACAACTTCCCCTCTTAACAACGATTTCGAACGTGATATTCATACACCTTCAGAGCATTTTAATATTGTTAGAGACTTATTAAGGAAAAATAGAAATATTTTCGCAAATAAAGATTCTGAATTATCAGAGACAGATACTGTAACCATGAAAATACCAACAGGTAATCATCATCCAATCAAATTACGCCCATATCGCACACCTTTAAACAATAGAAAATTTATGAGTGACGCAATCGATGAGATGTTAGATGCTAATATTATAAGAAGAAGTCATAGCCCTTATTCATTTCCTGTTGTTATTGTCGGGAAACGTGACGGCAGTAAACGGTTTTGTGTTGATTTTAGACAATTGAATAAAATTACAAAGCCAACATCATATCCTCTCCCATTAATTGACGATATTTTAACACTACTAGGGTCTTCAAAATATTTTACAACACTAGACATGCGCTCAGGGTTTTGGCAAATACCCGTGCATGAATCAGACAAGGAAAAAACGGCTTTTACGACATTCCGAGGCTTGTTTGAGTTCAACCGAACCCCTTTGGGCATAGTTTCTGCCCCTGGAGTTTTCCAAGAACTCATGTCACATGTCTTACAAGGTTTAGAGGCATTTGCTGTCAGTTATCTTGACGACATTCTAATATTTTCGAAGTCATTAAATGAACATTTATCACATATACAGACAGTATTTTCAAAGCTTAAAGAGCATAAATTAAAAACTTAAACTGAAAAAGTGCAGTTTTATTCAGCAACAAACAAAGTACCTTGGTTTTATAATTGATCATGAAGGTATAAAACCAGACCCAGAAAAAGTAAAAGCTATTTAGGTCACTTCCGGTACCAAAATGTGTTAAAGATCTTTACTTGGTGCTGCTGGTTTTATAGAAGATTTTGCCCTAAATATTCTAAAATTGTTGAACCTCTAATCAATCTTACAAGAAAAACGTGTTTTGTTTAAATGGACAAAAGAATGTCAAGAAAGTTTTTGAACAATTAAAGAAAATGTTAACACGTATTCCACTTTTAGCATTCCCAGACCCAAATAAGTCTTATATTCTATACACGGACTCCTCAGATTTAGTGGTCGGAGCATGTTTAAGTCAGAAATGTGACAAATCTGGTATTGAAAAACCTATATACTTCTTATCTCATAAATTAAGTGAATCTCAAAGAAAGTACAGTACCATAGAAAAAGAAGCATTCAGTATTCATTATGCGTTACAAAAATTAGATGTTTATTTACATAATGCAGAGTTTACTATATTTACAGACCATAAACCTTTAAAATATCTTTTAGAAGCACCTATGCAAAACAAAAGAATTCAGCTTTGGGCTTTAAATATTTCTGCCTATAACTGTAAAATTGAATATTTGCCAGGAAAATTAAATTTAATTGCCGATTTCTTTTCTAGACCTCCAGCTGCTGATAAAAATGCTAACAAGTCCGATATTGAACTTTACGAGCCTGATATAAATGACAATGCCTTCGAAATAACAGTCTCAAATTCAAGTAATAATTCAAATAATGATAATGTACATGCTGTGAAAACTGATGAAAGCTATGAAGTAAATGCTTTTGATTCTACACACTTTAATGCCAAAGAAATAGCAAACAAAGAATACCAATTTCAAGAGCCAATTGTAGAAGATATTAAACAATTCGAAAAATTAAATATGGCCTCAGAGCAAGATAAAGATCAAACTATTCTTGAAATGAAAATGTTACTACGTCACGGACAGCCAACTAAATCAGTGCAGAGCAAATATTTAGAAATTGACCAAATTCTTTATCATCTGTCCAATGTAGATGATAATCCTAATCTTAGATTGTTTGTTCCGCAACACTTAAAACACCTTGTCATTACTCAATATCATTTAAATAATGGTCACCCAGGAACACAGAGGTTATTTACAACAATAAAACAAAAGTATTTTTGGCCAAATATGTTCAAAGAATTGTATGAATATGTTTCTAAATGTGTTGATTGTCAGTCACGTAATCTTACAAAAATAAAAGCACCTATGGGCGAAACAAGAGTACCAATGTATTCATTCCAGACCATGAGTATCGACGTTATAGGGCCATATGAAAAAACAATGAGTGGTAACCGCTACATTATTTGTTTTATTGACCTTTACAGTGGTTATCCCGAGTGTTTCCCTACTGCTGACAAAAGTACTGATACAATTATACATTTACTATTAGAAGAAATTTACCCTAGATACGCATGTCCATTACAAATTGTCACTGACAATGGATCAGAATTCACAAGTAATGCTTTCAAAGAAACACTTAAAGAGTTAAGAATTGATCACGTGCGTACAACTACCTATCATGCTGCCGGAAACGCTAAAAATGAACGTTCTCACCATGTCATACATGATATCTTAGCTAAAAGAATCCAAGGAAATCTCAAACAATGGGATATTCATCTTAACATGACACTAGCCGCACTTAGATTCAATGTCTCTAGGACTTCAAAGCATAGTCCATTTTATTTGTTATATAACCGTGACCCAACATTACCGGTCGACCCGTGCTACAACCAAGGCAACGCTATCATGGCGAAGAATTTCACAAAATTGCTTTACAAGAACAACATAATACTTTTCTATCTGTATATAAGAACCTTAAAAAAGCAAATCGCGAACAAGCTAGCTATGCAGATAAGACCGCAAAAGATATCAAATTTGAAATAGGCGATCCAGTATTCTATAAGAATTTTCGTAAGAGAAGCAAACTAGATGTGAATTGGAAGCCATTTTATAGAATTATGGAGAAAAGGTCACCATTAACTTATATAATAAAAAATCAATTTGACAATTCAACAGTTAAAGTCCATGCAGAACAAATTAGGCTTGCAAATATTAATGACTGGTCAATACCAAAAGCAGATAATACTGGCAGACCAAAAAGAAATGCCACATTTGTAGTTACACCTGAAAATAGCGATACTGATGATGCTTCAGAAATACCAGAATCAGTATTACCCCAAGTTGCTAAGAATGTTAGAAAAGAAAGGTCAAATTCTGATAGTGAAGATGATATTCCATTAGCCGAATTACAGAAACATCTTCGACAACAACAACAAATTTCAAATAATGAAAATGCTCAAAGTAATGTACATTCAGAAGAAATGCAATCGCAGACTGATTCAGAATTATCAGACTCAAATTCCATACAAGTAAATAGCAATCCTCAGTCACAAGCAGTTATATAATGCTATTCAGTCAGATTCAATGGCTGATGATAATGATTCCGATAATGAAAGATGTTTATAAACTCTGTTTCTACTAAAAAGAAAGTAATGTAAAACCACGATATAAAGTATCTGGTAAGGTAAACACAAAGGTACATAGTAATAATAAACGCTTGAAACCGAATGTTAAAATGTTTTTACAAGGATTAGCCAGTATGCTATAGAATGTTATATTCCGTGTTATATGCTATACTAATTTTCGGTAAATTGACCTCAGGCATTGTAAATAGTAATTATGGTAGGAAGAAAATATATATGTTAAAAGAAAACAATATAAAACAAAACAGAAAATTACATTATTTAATAGTATATCTTTATATTTTTGGTGGTTGTATTCATTTATATCAAGTTTCAACTTGCTTTTATTAGAAATATATATCTTTGATTTTTTTATTGATTAAAATGATCGTTATTCGCTCTATGTTTATTAATAGATCGGTTAATTTAAATGCATTTCAAAGTAAATGACAGCACTTAATCATGAGTTTCAAATTGATTATTTACTTTATTTCATATTAGAATAACATGTGTATACATACATGTTTCAACTGTCAACGCACAATCATTAAATAAAGTTTAAATTGGGATAAGTCTTATTGTCGAAAATAAAACTAAAGTTAATAGCTTAGTTAAAAAACTAACAAAATATGTTTGTCTAGAAAAGTAAATTTTTTTTTTAAATATCAGTATTACATAAACAAGATACTTACACTAGAGAACATCTTTCATTGGAATTCTTATCCTATGCATTTTATGACAGTTGTCTTGTTGTTCATATATCTGAAACAAAATTATGTTTATTGTATATAATATCTATTAACCGATCTGACAACGGACGAAAATGCAAAATATTGGTCTAACGATCACTTGTCGTCCAGCCAAGACAGAGAGGTGCGAGCGAATTCGCCGGTACAGTAAAACACCGCCTGACTAGAAATATTACAGTCAGCCTCTACGATGTCAAACTATGTACAACAAAAACCATGCAGATATAACCATAAAACACCTTCTTCGATGTAAAACCATGCAGATATAACCATTAACACCTTCTTCGATGTACAACCAAGCAGATATAACCATAAACACCTTCTTCGATGTACAACCAAGCAGATATAACCATAAACACCTTATTCGATGTACAACCATGCAGATATAACCATTAACACCTTCTTCGATGTACAACCAAGCAGATATAACCATAAACACCTTCTTCGATGTACAACCAAGCAGATATAACCATAAACACCTTATTCGATGTACAACCATGCAGATATAACCATAAACACCTTCTTCGATGTAAAATTATATGAAATAAGCGTCTACGATGTTTAAAATATATAACTATGCTGACACAGCCGTCAACAACAACAACAACAACAACAACAACAAAATTGTGGAATCAAATAAACTTTTGTTCCTGTCTTCAACCAGAGAAGCCAAAAACTTCCGTTTATCAATAGAATGTGTTTTTATATGTGTTATATAAACTTAAAAACAAAAACCCAGAGAAATACTGATGACAAATTCTTATCAAAATAATTATTTGTGCGCGACAGAGATATCCAAAATAAATATCAAATAAACATTTGCGAGAATCGTGCAACAGTAAACTATTATTTTAATTATCTTATTACTCAAAAACATTGCTACATAAATGAAGAATTATAGATCTATCATCACTTTGTTGTATTGTTCACAAGATATTCTTTTTACGACGAAACAAGAACAGCGTTTACAGATGTGCCAATAAATATTCGAATATAACTTTATCAACTTGTGTATAAAGTCTACGTTTACACATATCAAATACATATATATTAATTTAAAAGAATCTTCAAGAACATCAAACATTTATGAACAATTATGAGTGTCAATTTAAAATTATAATTAAAAAAAGCTACATACCAACGATTTGAAATTCCCGACACGTCACGAAAGACCAAGCCATACTGATGTCAGCAAGTACCTGTTACAAAAAATATACGTGTCACAGGAAGTGTTCAATGCGCATGCACAATACACGTTTTACAGGAAATGAAACACCTGGACATTTTTATCAATTATCAATTGTTTATAATATTTTTTTTAACTTTTTCGTATATAAATATCTTTTCTACTCTTATCATACATATAAATCTGTTAAATTTTATACCTTAAAGTTTTTCTAATTAATATTCTTAAAATAATTTGTTCTTTGAAAAATTGTTAACTTATTTGTTTGTTTTTATGTTTACTAAATCACTAGAAATTAACTTTTTTTTCCCTTTTTTTATGTTGAAATAAAGGAAATTTAATATTTATTGAAAAACTTATAAAGCTATAATATTTTACCTTATGTTACTTTAACATATTATTTTTGTATTTTTTTTTTGCATAAAGATTAATCGAACATTTAACAATAATTATTATTTTACATATTCAAACTTTTTAAAACTAATATCAAAAGTAAACTTACCTGTGCTACATTGTATCTATCCAAATTTTTCTATTAAAATGAATTCAAACAAAAAGGTTACGCACGATATACAATTGACCAATCAGAGATTATATGACTTAAGGTGATTTTTTCTTTTAAAATAAACTAATAAAAAGTCAATAGATAACATCTCTGACCGGACATCTCTGACCGGATATTACCTTAAGGGTAAAACAGATGTCAAGTTGATTTTAGATTTTAGATTTTTATAATTTGTTAGAACGAGTTTGAAATGTTTGATATTAAATACTAACTTGTTCAATACTTTTTTTTTAAATATTTTTTTTATAAGTAATGGAGGAATTGTCGTATAGCTGGTTGCACAGGCTAATGAGTCATACACGCTATATTCAAAAAGAATGACAAGTCAACATGTATATACATATAATAAGGTTTTTATTTCATAATGTGCACTATGGAACATGACATGATTTATGAGTATTATAGTTCAGGATGCATACGGACTAGCTTATGTCAAAATGATTTATATATGTAACTCTAAAACGTGTGTATTTATATACATTATAAAATGTCCTTAGGACAGGTTGATATTATATATACTATTCTCAAATGTCAGAGTGGGAGTTCGACTTTGGTATTCCACTCGTTCACTTGTGTGTTTGTATTTGTATATTAAAAGTATGTAACATCCGTGAGTTCTTCCTACGTTATACGACATATCTAACTGTGATGAAAATAAATTAATTGATGTCATACAGAACAGAATCTGAAGCAAAGTCGGACTGATTATATTTGTTCATGATTGGCAGCACTTTTATTAACTCATGTTTCAAAATGATAATACACTTCTATGAACCGAGAATACACTATTTCGTATTTTCTAGATTGATGTTTCTGTTTAAATCCAAATCATATTTATTCATACTTCTGTCACATTGTTTAAAGTATATTTAATTGTCTTTTCTCTCAAACGTTCATTATGTTCATAAGGTGTCATGGCAAAAAAAATAACAACAAAAAAAACACTTTTAAGCGAGTTTTTTTTTTGTTTTCAGTGAATGCGCTTAATCTCATATTGTGATCCTCGCGCAAATGTCATTTTGAACATTCAACATTATCTGTCGTTATCCTAGATGACATGTAAAGTCTAAAATTGTATGCGTCTAGAATATCTTTATTTAAAGTTTGTATGTGGTCAACAAAATAAATCGTCAGGATTAAGAGGTTTCTTGTTTTGAACGACTGTATCAAATAATACATTTCGCAAATGTCAATATCTTTAAAATATAACATTATGTAATAAAATAAATATTGTGAGGTCATTTTTAATTCTTAATCCCCTAAATCGAATTGCTTAAAATATCCAGCTGATTAATTATAATTATATTCTGGCCGAGAAGTCTGGATAAATTTTCTTGTATAATTGTTTGTTATGAAAACGGATCGAAAATTATTTGTTAAAAATAAAATCGACTAAATTCAAAATTTGAATTTAAATAAATATGTAATGAATTAAGCATAAAACACAGGTTTTTATCTTTTATATTGGTTCTGTTATTTCAAGTTAAGTTGTCATTTATTTAAAAGTTATCGGGCATTAGTCACCGACTATGACTCCGGGTGTATAAGAAACCCAGATTGATTAACAACATAAAACGATTTCAAAGAGATCGCTATGAAAACGATTTCAAAGAGATCGCTATGCATTGTTCATCATTTATAAGATTTTTTTATTATGGTCACTGTCTTTTAACGAGCGTGAAATCAGAATAATTAATGTTTATTCGTTAGTAATAGTTGAAGAAGAAAAGAAAATAATACATGCCTTTTATATATATTTACTAATTAAATGCAATAGGTTATAACACGCATCTTCAATTGTTTTATATAAGTTATCAAACCGTCTAATATTCATTCGTGAATGACTGTTAATAAAATGATGATCAAGAGAACACAACTTTGTTAGAGTATATCACCACAACTTATTTTAACAGACACATTATCCACAAAAAATTAAGAAAAGTTATAAATACTTGATTTATACAAATTAATCATTACTGAAAATGATAAAAAAGGATTTAGTTGTTAATACGCTGCAGCTGTATCAGCCTTTGATTTCCCCTACGCTGCACATCAATTTTACACTACATCATCAATAAAGCATCGTGGGGTTTTACAAGCTTATTATAGTTGACAAATTGTTGACAAATTGTTGACAAATTGAGCCAGGCATTTCAGAGTTACGTGACAAATAAGTGATATATCTGTCTGTGGGAAACAAGATAAACAATAAGGAGAAAATGTCAACCTTACAACAATAACTTTTCAATAAACCTTTTACTCAATTATGCTTTAATTTAGTAACCGCATGTTAGCGTTGAATTATTAGAGGTGCGGTTTTGACTTTTATAAAATAAACCATTCTCATTTTGTATAGGTGATAAATAAGATATTAATTTGTAAATTCAGTACTATAATTAGACTTGTTGCATGCCCTTGTTTATACTTTAAAAGGAAATTTTAGATCAGATATTATTAAAGTTTACAGTTCTAAATTAAATTATGTTGTATATAGTAATATAAATGTAGTAAAATACCCCGTGGTACAGTTTTTCCGTGCGGCTACATCATGAATATACAAGTGATGAAAAAATTCTCAGAATGACTAAACCTTCTAAAACAATGTTTGCTCTTATCAATACTTCAATGAATAATTGTATGTTAATGATAATACAATTGGTTTGATTTGCTATCGTTGTAATTCAAAACAAATGTTTAACCAACAAAAATATAATGTGTTGTGTACTTTTGTTATTCTTATTTGTATATGTATTTTTAAATGCATTTATTGTAAATGACTAAAACTGTATATTGATAAATTGAAACATAAGATTTCAAAGTTGTCCCAATTTTTCATGAGTATAAGGCCTAATAAGAGACAGAAGAAAACTTCCTGTTTTCGACAGTTGTATCCTGTTATAAAGCGTGTAATGTTTACAAGCATACAAATCAAATCGCTTTTCTATTTCATAGTTGAATTTGTAAAAGATCAAACGATGTCTGAATCTGTTACTTGCGCTTGATGTTTATGTCACGTAAAGATGGTTTTAATTTGTCGGCTTATATCATTGTATTGTACCCTTTTATTCCGTAAAGCCATTAACGGTTTTGAAGTCTTTGTAAATGTCATCTTCAATCGAAACACATGGAAATTGTAATTGTTAGTTAACGCAATTCGTCATATACCTTATACGGGATAAACAGGTCTGTAGAAAGCCATACCATGGCGAGACCAAAGTTCGAGTCCTGATATGTTTTCTTCAGCACCGTAATCCAGTATCAGGTCAGTAACTACTGCTTTAATGATTTAACCATCACGTTAATTACGTTCCAAATAGGCAAAACAATTGCATTTGCTCTTTTATCGGCGATCCCTGTGGTAGTTTTAAATGTTTACTTTCATATCATATTCCGGTAGCATTATCCGGGAGCATTAAATATGAACAAAAACAAAATCATTATTTCGACAAAGTAGAAAGTGCGATAAAATAAAATACAATTTTTAGAAATATATACAATATTTTTTCCCGTTTTTATTATTGATATCATTTTGTAGTGCTAAATTTGTTACGAATTGAATTGATCAGTGCGAAATTGATCAATTTGTCCTTTATTTGAATTTCAAATAAACGGAATTACCAAAGGAATTTCTTTAGCTTTTAAAGTTGTATGACTACAAACTTCAAAGACTGAGACGTATTTTTTCCGTCGTTAAAACAAATAAAATATTGGTTTCACAATGACGATTAGGATAAATAATAAAAGATTAAATTGATTGCTTCTATCGCCTTCAAGAACTAGAAATATACTTTAATATTGCAACCTTTGAAATTGATTTTAACATAAGTAATGAGATTGTTTAAACAAGAATTGTTTGTGATATAAAAATATAAGTGAGTTATATATTGAGATAATGTGTCTATAACAAGAAGATAGATTACCAGTTAATGTAATGCTATAGAAAAAATTCCTTCGAGTAATATAAACTTTTTGTCATTGTTATTTGTAGGTTATTCGCAAAGAACGCCCACTGATGGACCTCCTTCGTGAATTTTAGATCAATCACTGATAGCTATTTAATGGATTTAATTACACCATGCATTTGATAGAAATGTTAAAAAAATAGCAATAAGCGTTGTTAATATAAAGTATAGGAAACCGATATCTGAAGTAGAAAGACAACCATCATAAAATTATATTTTTCAAAGAATAATCTTATATAACTGTAATGAATTATACTCTTACTTGATACTTATGTATATTTCAATAATTCATATCAATATACTGTGCAGAATTTGAAGGCTATTTTAAATAATATAAAATAGACATCCAACTATAGGTCGATAAATTGTGATTTAAAACTCCTCGATTGCGCCTTCATATATTCATACACATGTATTGTTTATAATATATGACATAAAGTATTACACAAAATACAGATTACTGTATTTATCAGTATAACGATTAACATCTGTGATATTGCAAAATCGTCATTGACCTGGATCAACAGGTCTGTACAAAGTCATATCAGAACAAAACTAA